GTAAGGTGGAGGGTCAGAGAAAAAGAGGAAGACCCCCAACGAGATGGATTGGCCAAGTGGCAGCATCAATGGACTCAAGCGTGGCCCAATAGTGAGGTTGGCCCAGGATCGGGCAGTGTTTTGTTCTGTTGTGCATTAAGGTCACTATGGGTCGGTACCGACTCAATGGCACCTAACAACAACAATCTTTATAGGTCTAGATTTTACATATAGATCTTTAATCCATATTGAGTTTTTTTATATTGTGTGAGATATGGGTCTTGTTTCATTCTTCTGGATTTCCAGTTTTGCCACCACCATTTGTTGAAGAGACTATCTCTGTCCCATTTAATCTTTCTCAAAGATCAACTGAGCATAGGTGGATGGTTTTACTTTTGGGTTCTCAATTTTGTTGCATTGATCTGTGTGTCTTTATTGTGCCAGTACAATGAAACACTGTTTTGATTCCTGTGCTGTATTGTGTAGGCTTTGAGATTGGGAAGTGAGACTGCTGCTTCCATGAGCATTGATTGTTTCAAAGTAACATGAAATCCTCCACAGTTTGTCTTTTCTCTATTTATTCTGATATTATTGTGTACATATCACCTCCCGAATATTCCTCCAGTACTCCTTGGAAACCCTATACAGGGTCGATATGGGTCAGAACCAACTAGACGGCACTTAACGTGTACACAAATGGTATTTATTGATTGCAGGGAAAGGTGGTTGAAAGAACAGTTGTCAGGAATGAAATGCAATGCAATTTGCAATTTTCTAGCTTGGAAGCACAGGAGGAGGAGGTAAGGGTGGTGGGAGTTAATACAGTTAATACAATGGGATTTGCCATGACCATTTTTCTGGTACTGCTGTTATGTGCTGCTAAGTCAGTTCTGACCCATAGTGACCCTGTATAGGGTTTCGAGGAGCAGTTAGTGAGCTTGAACTGCCCACCTTGCAGTTTCACTGGTACCTTAACAAGTGTTTAAAAATCTTTGAAGTTTTCGGCAGAATTAGCAAGGCTCAAGTTGGCCACTTCACTGAAGAGGTGGGTATCTAATGAATGTTATCTACAGAAGTTCTCTCAGGACATAGGCACTTCTTTGCCAGCAACACTATGTAAATGTGTGTGTGTTTGGGGGGGGGGGTATTAAACAAATTATCATATCAGTGGTGTCCTAATCACCTAGAAGTACACCTCTAACTTACCTCTAAGCTTTCAGACAACAGTTTACACAGGAGGAGATCTGCTCAATAACAACAATAGGAAACATTAACATATCAAACACCCGTAATGAGGCAGTTCTAGTGCTACATTTCTCCAGGTGAAGTGACATTTTCTTTGAACTTTCCTTTCCAGAAAGCAAATCTTATATTACAAATTTTCTTTAATCATTTGTATTTCCCCCAATCTAATGCCTGCCTAGGCTGGTTCTCCATTAAAATAATAATAATTAAAAAAAAAGTTTTGAAAGAAAGTTAACTTATTTGAAGGAAAGTCATGGCCACACCATTTATAATCACTGCCATAGGCAAACCAGGCAACTGTGTCGCGAGTAGGGCACCTTTGACCGTTTCTAAGTATCCCAATTCTAGTTCAGAGACCTATTTTCCAATGAATGGACAGACCCAGTATCTCCTTAAAGTAACAAGACTACCGCTTATTTTTCCATTTGGATGTTGTTTTGCCACCTGCATAACATTCATAATACACTATCTGGGTTTTTGCACCTTCCCAAGATCTGGTGGAGTCCTGGTGTGGCGCTGTGGGCTAATGCACCAGATTGTGGTCTGAACTGTAAGGTTGGCGGTTCAAGTTCACCAGCTGCTCCTTGGAAACCCTATACAGGGTCGCTATGGGTCAGAACCGACGCGACGGCGCTTAATAACAACAAGATCTGGCAATATCCAAGGGCTTACCAAAGCGTGAAGACAAATTCCTACCACCAAAACATCTTTACAAATGTGTTAACATAAAAAGTTGTACCCAATTTTAATGAATCTGATGAAAAGCAGTTATAGGAATCAGTACTGGATTACTAAAATGATTCTCAAAGTTTTTTTTTTTTATTTTAAAAATTGTACTTTTAATTCTCGGATATTGTTAGAATACAGATACAGATAACACTAGGATAACTGTAACCAATACCATAAGGAAAGCTGCTCTACAGACTTGTTCTCTCACTCTCCACAACCATAGAACAGGCACAAACGTTCAGGGTGTGTGGAGAAGCAGTCAGGGACTTGGAAGAAGGCATGCAAAAAGCATAAGCAGAGTCTGATGTATAACTTCTACACAAAGTTCAGTCAACATAGGGGTAGCAATTGGCAGAGAGTGGAGGCAGAGCTGGTCTGGCCCTTGCTGTTTGAACTTTCTCACTGGAGTGAATATGTGTGGAGAGGTGGCTAGGGAATTTGATAGTTTTTTCCTGAGCCCTTTACTTCTAAGCCAAAAGCAACAGCAGGAATAAACTGGTGTGGAGCAAGAAGAGCAGAGACGAGAAAGGGGGTAAAATACAGCTAAGTCATGGAGATGATATCTTCTATGGCCACTCCCAAGTTGATGCCAGTAATGGCTCATAGAAGCAACAGAGAACTTTGATATTCATAAAAATCATCAGCAACACTGATAGGAGAAGACATACTTGAGTTCAATCACCAAGAACATTTAAGTAACTCAACAATTAAAACATAAATATCCACAGTCTGCTAGATTTTGTTTAGAACAAAAGACATGATCCCTGCCAATGTTTGTATTCAAATAGTAGTGGTAATATAAAGAAACCCCCTTGATGGAGTGATCCCTCATTTTTGTTATTTTCGAGTTTCTGTCTTTTGCAAGTGATACATGCAATCCCACACAGCCATGGATTACAGTAACTCACTGTAGTATACTAACCAAGAGAGAACACTGGCTCCTTTTAACACCAAGTCCCAAAAAGCTATGGCAAAAGTATTCTTTTTAAAAGTTACAACAATCATAATAAAGCATAGTAGAAATAACCTGGGGGCACTCTCAAAAGAAATGTATTCCTTACTCCAATCCCATCACCTGGACACCAATTCCCTCCCACTCCTATCGCCCAATGCTTGACCATGCATCAACATTTGGGATGTTTCTTAATTCTGATTCAAGTCAAGACTTGATAACTACTGGGCTTGCATTAGGTCAATTCTTATTTTAACCACTTAGATGTGTAACTTGGAGTCCTGGTATGGCACTGTGGGTTAATGCGCTGGATTACAAAATCAGTTTGAACTACAAGGTCGGGGGTTCAAGCTTACCAAGCTGCTCCTCGGAAACCCTATGGGTTTCACTCTGGGTTGGAATTGACTCTATAGCACTTAACAACATGTGTAACTTGGAGAATGGAAATACATTCTTACCTAGGTTTATTAATTCATTCTGACTAGGTCAGAGAGTTCATTACCAGTGAAGATAATTCAATCTGAGAATAGGACAGTCTATTTGTATGGTCATTATCTTACGTGATTACTGATACATAAAAACGAGTGCTTCTGTACAAAGACAGATCTTACATGAGAATGCACACTAGAACACTAGTGTTGACATTTTTTTCCCATAGAGTGGGGAGAAAATTTTCACATTGGAGTTATAGCTGTACTTTTGTCACGTGATTATTATTACCCAAGAACATGCTAAATAAATCTGTGTGACTGGCAGTTTCAGCTTGTGGAAAAACCACAGGAATACAAATTTCTCTGTATATACACATGCCCTTATGCAAGCTAAGATAAACACTGGGATGTGATCCTTATCAAATTCTAGTGTTAGCAGTAGGGAGAATTGATCTTAACAGATAGAAGGGAAAGAACACAGAAATGACCTGCATTCCTTGAGAAGGGACTCTGTGCTGCTTTCCTTGGTCAATTCCAATTGCTCCTTACACATCGCCATAACTTGGTCTTATCTTACCTTGAAGATGTTTCCCTTACAATGTTTCCTACATTGATCCCCAAAGAAAATTCATAAATGCTGATTAATGCTAATAACAACAGTGGCTATAGTGTTTACTGAAGTCATCACTATTGACAGGTGCTTGGTCCCAAAATCTGTATCTCCTTTTTCCTTTTAATCTGTGTCTTCTATTAGCTTTCATAAAGATGCAGGTTTTCGAGAGTTTAAATAGAAATATGAGAAGAAAAGTTATGATCACTGCCTTCATCACGCAGAATCCTGTTTCCAAGAAGACAGAAAGATACAGATGTATGAGCAACTCAAGAAAAAGCCCCTTGGAGGGAAAGATGCATGTGCCTAACTACTATGGTGTGTGTGAATAGGTGTGGCGATTCTGGTTGAGTCCCCATTGCCTTTTTCCAAAGTAGTCCTGGCCATCCTATTACAGTCCCACATTTCCCCTAGCATAGTTCTTTGGGCCAAAGGGTAAGAGAAAGAACTTCTATAGATTTACCCCTTTTCCAGGCCTGACCATTCACCAGTGTCTAGCCCCTGGTCTTCAAATTTCCAGCTATTTGTAGGGCTGATGTTGATGAAGTAATTCACTAATATTGAGTGAATAAAAATCACTATTTGGGGGGAGGGAGTAATATTCCCAAAGCTGTGTGCCATAATTTCAAATGCCTTGTCGTCCTTGATGTTTTAAACTGTGGCCCACAACTAGAAAATTCAGTGTGGTTAAAAAAGTTCAATCTTGAAGGAGCTCACTAATAAAACTGTACCTTCAATGAAATTAATTTTTCAGTCATCACAGTTACAGGACTTAGTCAGTGTGGACTCTCTTATGCTTAATAAGAGCTGAGCTACGACTGAAACTCTTCTCGCATTCGGTACATTCATAAGGCTTCTCTCCTGTATGGACTCTCTGATGTGTGATGAGGTTAGAGCTCTGGGTAAAACCTTTTCCACACTGTACACACTCATAGGGTTTCTCTCCTGTGTGGGTTCTCTGGTGTTTAATCAGATCTGACCTTTCACCAAAGCTTCGCCAACACTCGTTGCACTCATAGGGCTTCTCTCCAGTGTGAATTTTCTGATGTGTAATGAGGTGAGAGCTACGGCTGAAGCTTTTCCCACAAGCATTACATTCATATGGCTTCTCCCCAGTGTGGGTTCTCTGGTGTTGAACCAAGTGTGAGATGCGGCTGAAATTCTCCCCACATTCATTACAGTGGTATGGCTTTTCTCCTGTGTGGGCTCTTCGATGGCGCACAAGGTCGGAGTTTTGGCTGAAATTCTTCCCACACTCATCACATTTGTAGGGCCTCTCCCCTGTGTGAACGCGATAGTGCTTGATGAGATCAGATCGCTCACTGAAGCCTCGTCCACATTCATTACACTCATAAGGCTTCTCACCCGTGTGGGTCCTCTGATGCTGAGCTAGGTGAGAGCTTCGGCTGAAGCTTTTCCCACATTCCTCACACTCATAGGGCTTCTCCCCACTGTGGGTCCTTTGGTGTTGAATTAGGTGAGAGAGTCGACAGAAACTTTTCCCACACTCATTACATTTGTGGGGCTTCTCTCCAGTGTGTATTGTCTGATGCTGAATGAGGTGAGAGCTTCTTCCAAAGCTTTTTCCACACTCATTACAGTCATAGGGCCTCTCTCCAGTGTGTGTTCTTTGATGCTGAATGAGGTGTGAGCTGCGACTGAAGCCCTTTCCACACTCGTAGCACTTATAAGGTCTATCTCCAGTGTGGGTTTTCTGATGGCGATTAAGATCTGAGATCTGACTGAAAGCCTTTCCACAATGAGAACATATATGATATCGGATGCCTGTGTGGACTTCTTTGTGGACAAGCATATCAGTGACTTGCTGGAGAGGATAGCTCACCCATTCTTCTGCTGTTAAATCTCCCCACTGTCTTTCTGATCTATCGCCACTTTCAAAGGCCTCTTCACTTTCAGGATTTTCCTCAGTATTCCCAACAGGTCTTTCAGATGTGGTCCCAAATTTTACATCTTCACTAATCTCTTGCTTTGGGTTCACCTCATTCTCACTCCTGATCTCAAAATCTGTAATAAAGAGGAAATAATAGTAAAAAACTGGTAAAAGTACAAAATAAAATTTTTGTTTCTATGATGCTAAATTTTCCACATGAATTACCTCATCTATTATCACAACATCCTAGGACTCTGCCATTATGATGAGAGCCACATTATGAACGAGAAATCCAAGACCCAAAGTAGGGATGCGCTATGCCCAAGGTCATAAGGTAATAAATGGCAGAACCAAGACCGAACAAGTTTATTTGATGAAAGTCTATGCTCTGTAACACCAAAGTTAATGCTTTCATTTTAAAACTGTATGTTCCAGATGTCATAAAAGAAGAAAATACCCAGAAACAAAATAGAACAGGGACTCTATAAAGTATCTAAAAGCTTAGCTGTTTTTATGTAAGTATGTACATGTGAATTCTAGTTTTAAATATTTTAATGACTCTAATATATCAAAAGCCAATGATCCTGAAGAAGGAAGTCTAAGGTGCAATGAAGGAACTGGCAAAGAACAAGGCACCAGGAATTGATGGAATAAAAACTGAAATCTTTCAAGAAAGTGAGGTGACACAGGAGGCACTCACTCATCTCTACCAAGAAATTTAGAAGACAACTATCTGGCCAACTGATTGGAAGAGACCCATATTTGTGCCCATTCCCAAGAGAGGTGACCCAATGGAATGAGGAAATCACTGGACAATCTCTTTGATATCCCATGCGAGTAAAGTTTTGCTAAAGGTAATACAGAAACGGCTACAATCATACATTGACAGAGAACTTCCAGAGGTTCAAGCTGGATTCAGCTGTGGAACGAGGGATAGCATTGCTGATGTCCGATGGATCTTGGCTGAAAGCAGAGACTATCAGAAAGATGTTTACCTGTGCTTTATTGACTACGCAAACGCTTTTGATTGTGTGGATCATGACAAGCTATGGACAATATTGCGAAGTATGGGTATTCCAGAACACTTAACTGTGCTCATGAGGAATCTGTACCTGGACCAAGAAGCAGCTGTTCGGACAGAATGTGGGTACACTGAATGTTTTAAAATTTAAAAAGGTATGCAACAAGATTGTATTCTTTCACCATACTTATTCAACCTGTATGCTGAGCAAGTAATACGAGAAGCTGGGTTATGTGAAAAAACATGTGGCATCAGGATTAGAGGAAGACTGACTGACAATCTGCGATATGCAGAAGATACAACCTTGCTTGCTGAAAGTGAAGAGGA